TATTTTTATCAATTTCAGACTGCTGAATCAGGAATTGACGTTTGGTGATTGTGATATGACGTCACTTTATATGTGTCATAGATGCTGTTTTAGATTTATGCCGGATTGTAGACCATCATGCCTACATACAACTACACGTCCAATCAGCTGAATATTACATTACTGTCAGCCAACATTTCAACAAAAGTTGATAACGAAACTATTCAATCTTCTTCATCTGGAACAATTATCTGCAGCAATGCAACCGAAGCCACGGCGGAAAACTATAGAACGTCTAATGACGCACTTCTATATATAGTAACGGTGTTGTTATTTTATTCGCTAAGTATGGTGATACTAATGATTAAATACATTAGAAGGGAAAGGGAGGAAGCGGAAATAGCGCATTATTACTCGGAATATGTGTCCCGCGAAAAATTCAAAACACCAAAATTTGAGTTACAAAACTACATGAAATTATTAAAGTATAAACAGGAATATTTATCAGAAAGAAGTAGAGCCATAGGCGACATTGGAAATGTTGAATGTGTAAATGTGCCTTTAGTAACAGATGTTGGTCAGACAGACGAACACAAAGTGGCAAAACAAACATCTCGTCATGAAAATGATGATGTCTCTATTTAGTGCGTGCGTGTGTGTGCGTGCGTGCGTGCGTGCGAGTGTGTGCTTTCAAGTGCTCTGAACTTATTTGAAATGATTATTTATGTTGTTTCATTGGTTATACAGACATCTGCTACCGCGATTTTTTAATGAAATAAGAACATGAATTTATTCATTTTACGATTTCATGTTTCATAATTTTACTTTATTTTTGTCTTTACTTTAACAGAAGAAAATAAGACCTCCTTAAACACGGGTTATACCATTTAAGCGTATAGTGGCCATAACAATAATGTGCATAAATACATGTATGTAATTTTAGTGGCATTATTGAAAATATACGACAGTAACACGATTTCCACAACGATAAATAAGCTCATGAAACAATTACTGGACATGTGTAAAGCGTCCAAATCCAAATAAAATTATCTGATAAATGTATATATTATTTTATAGCAAATTTTACCCAGATCGGAAATGAAACTTTTGATTAAATTATAAGAAAATGTTTACGCATTAAATAAATGCACGTGTACTGTATACATAATCCTTTGATATACACTGTACATAGACAGGAACTTTGTTCCCTTCAATGTTCATGAATAATAGAACATTTGTGCAAGCATACATAACAAATATACAGATAAATCAGCAAGTAATTGCCACTAAAATGTAATACATTAAATATATGTTCATGTAGTAATACACAACGGTGACTTTGTACATGTCACGAGGTTCAAAATTAATACATTCAAGTTTTTCACCGCCAATCAATTCAGAATATAACAATCTAACATCGGTTGCTGTAAAAGAGGTCAAGGATAACGGTTTACGGCAGTTTACGAGTTTCTGTCACCCTGTGAAAAATAGTCGGTGTTTGATTGTTTTCCTTGCATATTATATATATAGAAATCATATTCCGTAAAGAAATAACGAATATTTGAGTATAAATATATACAGCTTCATTCGCATATACTATCATAACAGGCACGTGGAAATGATGCCATTTAAAGCGTGCGACTTTCATTAATTTATTAATTCATACACACACACAGTTAAGAGATGGGCATGCGTCTCTAATATCGGGTAATATATAAAATCTAACATCTCTTGAACTTTCTGATGTAACACAAAATAAAGTTATCAACCTACCCTATTGACCAACTAACTACAGCAAATTAGATATTGATAAGTATATAACTTCAAGTATGACAATACAAGATAATTGATATATTTAATATAAAATACTAACCTATATTATTAGCTAATGATAAATGTCGACAGTATTAAGTAAACGTAAATGATTCATTTAATTTCAGACCAGATTGTGTATACAAACACTGTAGTTTATCGCTTCTTTTTTGTCCTAAATGTGAGGCAACCATTATAGATCTAGATTATAACCACAGCAAGTGATTAAAGGCATGTTCAAACGCAAACGTCTACAATTTAATATACATGTATAGTTTTCTCTTAAGGGTGGAAGCCCGCATAGCTCAATCTGTTAGAGCGCAAGACTTGTAATCTCGACATTGTGAGCTCGATCCCAAGGCTTGCCAACTAAAAATGTCGGATGAGAATAGAGGTCCCATGTATGAGTGCTTAAACACGACCATGAGAAGCTTCTGGAATTGGGATATCTTTTTCCCATATGACCAAGTCAAGCCGCTAAAGAAAATAGTTGAGGATTTGCCTTATACAATTGCTTATTTCGTGATCATTTATAACTTTGATATAAATTTATATAATATATAATTATACATGTTCGTTGCAGACGACATCTAATCTCACAGGGAATATGCATGTGGTGATATATTTTTGATATGTAAGAGAGATAACTCGTACAAGTATTATAAACGACGAAAAGATTTTCCGACGCGGCTCACAGCAAAAAACAATGCCTCAACATAATATTCCGTATGTATTACGGGCACACCCGATGTTGCGGAAGGACAAATTAATAGTTTTGTCTGCAAGTTAGATCACAAGAATTTATCAGCAGGCATACAATGATCATTAGCTTGAATTTCTACAAATTTGCCTACTTGATACATAAATTTAAACACAAGTAATTTCATTTAATTTATTTATGTAGTTAAAATCAAGAGCAAAAAAATGATTTAGATTGTAAAGTCTTTGGACAACGTTTCAGTCAAGACATTTCTAAAAAGAGTTACGAAAAGAAAAACAATTAAAAGACACACAATATAATGAACATATGAACTAATTACCACAAGAAAGTACTATATATTTTTTTAAAGAAAATACAACAACAAGAAAAATGTCCGGTTAGTTTAGTTTAAAGGTCACTTTCGTTGTGGTTAATTCTAGTGCTTCGGGTCATGATTATCTCATTCAGTCTATAGTCTTCCGTTACTTAAAGTCTTCCGTTACTTCAAGTAATCATTGAGTCTATAGATTTCCGTTACTTCAAAAAATCATTCAGTCTATAGTCTTCGGCTATAAATGGACAACGCCATGTTTGTTCCCGAAATCGTGAAAATTTTGAAAGCTCGCTTGTGAAGGTTACGAGGTGACCTCCTATTGCTGCACGTCAGATCATAATGTGTAGAGTTGATTAAGAGCTGATTGTAATCAGCCTTTCTTAGCACACAGTGTTGAACTGGTGTGGCTGCTTTAATTAAATCTTTTTGTGACGAAATACCTATGTTGATGTGGAACACGCCCACATGTAATTGAGGCCGGTCGCCTATCCACGGTCGCTCTAATTTGGACTAAGATTATTCCCTCTTCGGGGGTTTTCGTTTTGGTTTTAACATAACTAAACTTGAAAATGCTTGTAAACCTCTAAGACTCTGTCTTTAGATACCATTTGTATAGATAGACTAGCAATCTGATAAGCTTATAATATCGTGCATACGTGAATGTTTTTACTCATTGTTTTATCATTTATTTTCAATCAGTTTTCGCGTTCGTTTGAAAGAAAATAAATATTTTTAAAGGAACTCCATTGAGATTCAAAAGCATAGAACATAAAGTTTTAATTTCTTACATACATCAGCTGGCAGGTGGAAGACGAAAATTAAAACTTTTAATGCCAACGGCTTTAAAGCTGCATGCCTCCAGATGAGTAAAAATATTTCAATAACATCAAACTTGAGAAATATGTACTAAGATGTAAGGCAAAGTAAAATGATTAAAGATCAAAGTTATATTTTACATGTTATGTGCGGTTAATGACTGATTTTTCAGTATTTACAACTATATTTCTACTGCGTTACTAATGCAGTAAGGGCATTAATGCATATTTTGACCACTTTTTGGTAATTTACTTGGGTTGTAAGTGTCATTGATAATGTGTGAATTGCTTCCTTTTGGTTACTTCACAATATTATACTGTTAAATTACATATTCAAAAAATTCATGAAAATAAGCATGAATCTGGAGGCGTGCTGCTTTAAGAACTTCCCTTTATAGAGTCTTGCAATTTGTCCGTCAGATGTTATTAAAAGCGGAAAGCATTTTAGTGGGTATGCCTTAAAAGTTTTAATGAAACGACTGATGATTGGCGAAAAGTTACTTGCTTCTTCCATTCAGCTTTGAGTTAAGGTATTTTTTACATTTAAAATAATCGAGGTTAAACATTATAGTCATTTACAGATGATAGCCGACAAGAGCTAACTAGAGTACGTTACCTCGTGATACTATGTCAAAGATCAAACAATTTCAAAGCATATAATGTATCCGATGAATTAGACAGTCCATTGCCTATGTATGATTTAAAATTGCAGCTTGAAATAGCATATGACATTGCATATTTCAGAACTCATTGCAGTACCAAACTATGATTTTCACATTAGACTCAGCGAAGAAAATTAAATTACAGAGAGAAATAACATTTAACACATGATAACATAATTATATTTTATGTTAAACTGGGACTCTCTTAGCATTTGTTGACATTGTAAAAATATAACTTTGGTCTAAAGAGACAATCTGTTGTGGTTATTTGCACAGCTATGTTTTAATGGAGTCTAAACGGATTATCTTTCCTGCTTATGACCAAACGCACTTCGGGCTTCCATGTAATAAAGTTTTACCTTACAATAAACAAACCTTACAATAAACAAAGAAACCTTCTAGTTTGATGCTATTCAGTTCAATAAATGTTAGGCATGTCTCGTGGTGGAAATAAAAAGAAGCTATCGGTACCTTTGTAAACATGTGACGTCCATATCTTCCAAATATTTACATGTAATACTATGACGAAAATTAATGAAAGTAACTAAACAATTGCCAGGTCTATGTGTTCATCATTTTCTGTCATCAAATAAGTTATGGCCATTTGACATACTGTTAAAATAGTAAATTTGTTTTATATAAATTAATACATATCTAAAACTTATATGCTAATTAAGGAGCTATTTAATATTAATTCATTATAAGTATCAGCAGTTTTATTTTTGCACCATAAACCATAATATGTACAATACAATATATCGTATGTTGATTAACAAAGCAAACAATCAAACTAAAACAACAGTGTAAAACGCATGAAAAATATGTAGAAGTCTGTGATTAACAATATCAACAACAAAGATGGATAAAAAATATATGCTTTGTATACATGTAACAAACAATTTCCTGCTAAATAAAGTCTGAATAGTGACTAGTTCCTTTTGAAGCTGTGGTACCAAACTTCATGCAACAAAAAATCAAATCAACACATTTCCCTTATGATCAAATAAAGCCGCTACAGTAAATACCCGACAAACATCATAAGGATCGGCGTCAGATACTGGTCTTCTCTCTTCGATGTAACCTTTACCTTCAGCTGCAACATGGGTTGGTATTCTGATGCTTGATTGATGTTTGTCTCCTACTGTATACTTGAATTCGTGATATAATGGCATGTAAAAATCACCATCCAAATACCATTTCATTTCCTCACCATTTGATATGTCGTAATGTTTAAACATAGCTTCTTGGGGATACTTTGATATATTATCTATTATGCTATATAAAGTCCTGAAAAAAATCAGAGATATTGGAGTTGTTGTTGTGTTCGTACTGAAAAGTTATCTTTTACATTTCTTGAGTGTTAATTATCATTTGATTTGTTTATTTGTCACACCGAAACAGAATAGGTCATAAAGCAACGTTTCAGCTTTACTGGTGGTGCCTTTCCGTTCATTATTTCAGGCACGACCGGGCACTTGAGTAGAACCCCCGACCTTCCGTAAGTTAGCTTGATAGCTTCCTCACATGAGAGAATCCAAACTCCCTGTCTGGATTCGAACCCACAGCGGTATTTACTAAATTTTATTAAATAATCTTAAATATGATTGATAAAACAAACAGAAACTAAGACAAATTTTTTCACAGAAAACTGTCCAAACAAAGTCAATTGCCGTCACTTTTAAAATCATTGTATATAAATATTTCGAGATTTTTCATGGATATCAAAGATTTCATCATATACTTACTGTAAACCACCTTCTTCTCGAGATTTCCTGGTACTAAAATTTAAAGGGATGAAACTTTTGGCCCGGGGGCATTTTTTCCCCTCCGAGCGGGGGTCGATTTTTTGGGAATGTTTATTTTTACATTGTCTTTTTCGGGCAAAAACGTAGGGAATTTTAGGGGGGCAAATATAAACATGGTCAGCGGGCTTTGAATACCTGGCAAATGGACCGATTTGGGGAAACCCTCCCCCCTAAAAGTAGAACTGAAAGGGTTGGGGGTCCAATTTTTAAATTTTTCCCAAAAAACATTTTTTATCACCCAAATAACTACTAAAAAAGGACTACTTTTTGTTCGGGGCGTTTCTTTCAAAACATTCTTTGGCCCCTTTAAATGGGTAAAAATTTGAAATGTTTTAATAAATTTTCCAGGGGACCCAATTTTTTAACCCCCAAAACGGTTCTTATTAAAATTTGGGGATGAAAGAAAAATCAACATCTCCTGCATTCTAAACTTATAAGATGATAAGACCCATGATTTGTCTTAGATTAGACATATTTTTATACCATTTATAAGAAACAACATTAAAATTTAATGTTTTTCCCCTTTAACTGTATACACGAAATATTTTTGGGAATTTATAATTTTTTAAAGGGGGGGTTTAAAACAGGGGGGTTTCGGGTGATGGTAGAGAGTTGATTTATTGTTTAATATTTTCTTGCAACTGATATTCAAGACCTTCGACAAGACTTTCCAGTGCGCTTCCCAAACGTCATACGAGGAAACGTGATCGATCTTGACCCGATCAGAGAGTTGATTCAAGTGACAGTTCATTGAATAAAACAAGTTTGTATCATAGTTAAGGGACCTTTCTGTTGAAAATGAGACAGAGTTAAATCGCATAAATTAAAAATGCACAGTGCGTTAACTGGAGTGCAGGTATTAGTTACCCGCACTCCAAAGCATGCCCATTGATTGGTTCATTTTGTTCGGGGTTAACATATTGTGACGACAGAGAAAGGGATAGCGAGGAAAATATCATAATCAGATGCTCGTTCAATGGTTACTTTTTTTGGTGGGGTTTCATATTTGTGGTTTTTTTATGTTTGACTATGATATAAAAGAGAAAGAACATTCAAAACACTCAGCAATCTGATATATTCGGGGGGGGGCTTAGCCCGCTCGTACAATCAGATAGCCTCGTGTTCGATGCGCTTCTATTACTTTTATCGGGCCAAGAAACCATGATGTCGACCGGGAACTGACCCGACAGGGTTGACTTCCTATATACCGCCCAGCATGATAAAGGATTTATTGGGCACTATATGGATATAATATTTCAGATTGACACATTGAGCCGTTTTGTCATGACAAAACCAACGTAATGCTTTTGCGAAGAACATAGATCCCAACCAGCCTGCGCATTTCCGCGCAGTCTGGTCAGGGATCCATCTGTCCGCTATCAGTTTCTCTACTTGTATTAGGGTTTGTAAGCGAACAGCATGGATTCTGATCAGACTGCGCAGGCTGGTATGGATCCGTGCTGGTCACAAACGCATTGGGTTGGTTTTGTCGTGACGCTGCTCACATGTACAATGTCTTGCTATATTTATACCTGTGATGGATTCATTTCTCTAACACATCCGTACATATCTAAACCAGCATAAATACACGCTCGTAGGTGAAGGTCGACAAATTGGCGCTCAAAACCTACATGATCTCCAATTGTCAATTCACTGTTAATATCTACAATTACATATAAATATTCGAAAGGATTGTTATTCCTATGTCATGAACAAAACTAAATAAATTTCAGATAAATAATTATATAACTTAAGAAACAAAATCATCAAACACGTTTTTATAGAAAAAAGAATGTTGACATTAAGGGAAGAAAATACGCTGCTTAAGCTTTACACTATAATAATCTTGAAATTCAAACTTTAATGTGCTATCATTGAAGATATAAGGCATTTTATGCACATACCTATAGATGGCTGGAAATGTGCCCAATCTAAGGGAATATCATTTTCATGAGTAATGTAGAATTCTTGCTCAATACCAAACCAGGGCTCATGTTCCTTTACTTGATCTAATATTTCTTTACATTTCTTTCTTATATTATACTCTGAAAAAAAAAGTTGTGTCTAAAATAAAAAAAATTACATATTACAGAAGATATGTTATGGAGGATGACTAATGTGACTTTTTCCAAGTAAGTCAGATGAATTTAAATAGCATTATCATTTATAAATATTGAGAAATATATAGGACATTTATTTCTATGTGCTCCTGGGTTCATTCTTGTTATTCTTTTACCTTAGTTGAAAGATCAACGTATTTATAACAAGAAATTAAATACCGTTTTCAGGACTGCTTGTGAATTTGTAACCCTATATTTAAAGTTTAAAACATAAATTTGAATTTTTTACATAGATAAACTATGTCACTTAAAACAAAAAGAAAATTCAACATGAACGACCGCCTAGTGTTTGACCAAGTATTTTGAATTTCTCACCGACGTCTTTATTTCTTTTATCTGGATAAGCTGGCTCACAGAGAACTATCTTATGCTTGCCTAGCCTAAATGGATCTCTACACATAGCAACAGGTACCAAAGCCAACTCAGGTGCCGGATGTTTTGCCTCGATTGTATCGAACTCGTGTATATACCGAACCGGGCACTCTGTAAAACACACACTATGTTTTGTATTTGGAAGTCATTTTCTCATATTGTGAGCATGAAACAGAATGAATACCCAAAACGATATCAAAGAAATAATGAGTATCTGTTGCGTTTATCTCATCCATGGATCAACGAAAGAGTTCGAAACTGCACGGATCTGACTTAACGTCATATGGACTTCGATTGAATGATGTTCCATTCAAAATATACCTGATTAACGCAAAAGCTACTGCTGTAAAATAACTACAGAATTCGCTCCATGTTCGATTTATATAGGTAATGTGAATCTCTGTTCAAACAAATAATTTATAATATACATGTGATAAAACGTTCTTCATTTCTTTACTTTATTCAAATATCCATGCAAAAACACATTTACAAAAGGCACAATTCTGCAACTGTTATATTTCACCCCTCAGTATGTTCACACTTCACCAAAGTTCTGATAATAATAAATTTATTAAAATTCCGATACCAAATATTATTATAGTTTGTCTGTAAGGATATAGCTTCCTATACAATTGAAATAAATATATTCTATATAAACTAAAATATGTAATCGGTATAAAATGTATAGTATGTCAATATTGCTGCATATATTAAGAAATTGAATTAGAGAAATGTACACACTGATTCTTTTAACTTTTTACCATTATGTGACTTTGGTTCGGTATCCACCACATATGTTTTAGACAAAAAACTCGAACGAGTATACTTCACTATTATATACTCCAATATAACCTTCGTGCCATCATCCGGAATTTGTAACGGTTTAACAACAAATTCTTTTGTAGTCATCTGAAAGAAGTGCATTTCATTTAGGGATTGAAAAACATTATATATATACTAGACTAAAGATAAAAAATAAAATACTGATGCAACTTTCTTCATGATTTGACTTTGGTTAAGGGTCGCTGGTTAGTGACAAGATTTTGTTTGTTTGTTTGTTTCATTTTACGCCTTTTTCAACAGTATTTCAGTCATATAGGCGGGTAGTTTCCTAACCATCGTTCCTGGAGAGTTACACCAGTACTAAACTACCTTCCTCCGCGCTAAACTACCAAAGCATCTCCCGGGTATCGAACCCACGCCAGAGAGGTAACTGGATTAGAAGTCATCGACTCTAACCCCTCCACCACGGAGGCGGTTAGTGACAATAGATCTCGCGTATATGATATGCAAAACACCGGATGTCATGTAAAGTTATGATAAGTTTTTTTTCTCTTTGTTTTTATTGTTATTTTTTTTTTTATAAATAACCACTATACTTTTCTTGTATGGAAAGCCACATGAGTTTCCATCAAACTTTTTACACTTATATGTTACATTTGTTGCACCTTCTGGAAATAAAGTTTATATAAATTTTAATATTATATTTTTTTTCCTTTAACATATGAGTCGCGTCACGACAAAACCAACATAATGGGTTTGCGACCATCATGGATCCCGACCAGCCTGCGCATCCGCGCAGTCTGATCCGGAACCATGCTGTTCGCTATCAGTTTCTCTACATGTAATAAGGTTTGTAAGAAATGCAGTCCTGGTGCATAGACTCTTGGGAATAAGAGTACGACCCTTTTCCCAAAACATGATACGCCCCTGTAAACACTATCAAAAATCTATAAATGAGAGATAA